CCCTGGTACTTGAAAACTTGAGCCCCTAAGTGCTGACACTGAAAAAAACATAAACTCCACAGGCCCTGTGTTTCCATCAGTTTGTAACAAACTGATGCATGATCCTTGTCAATGTTCAATCTTTTGACCATGGGTCAACTGACCATGGGTCATTGAATGCAAGTGGTCCAAGATCTCTGAAAAATTCACAGTTGAGCCAGTATCCCAATAATATTTGTACTCATATATATAAATATAATATTGTACAATATGTGTGTCACAGAGTGATATTTACACAAAAACATGTAGACGTCAAACTCATCACAGCCCCCCAAAACAACACAAACACAAACCGATTCAGGTGAGTTCAGGTGGGTTCAGGTGAACTTAGATGGAATCAAAATCATTAAGAGAAACACATATAAAAACCATGTATTTTTTACATAATATATATATATGTTCCTGAATGAAACACACACACACACTGCATCTTTCACATCACTGAATCTGCAAAACACATGTTTCGTTTTGTTTCGTTTGTTTCGTTTTGTGCTCAAAACCTCCATTTGTGCAACAAAAGACAATGCAGCACGAACAAAAGCTGTGTTTTCCTGGTTGGGTGCAGTTCGAACTGCTGCTGTCTAGTGTTCCGCCCGGCTGACTCGCAAAAACAGATCCGTCAACCAAAGGATCCATCAAGCCAGGATCACAACTAAGAGGGGCAGTGGTCTTGCTGTGTTCCCTGAAACCTTGGAAAAAGAACCTCTCTCTAAGAAAATTCATCATACAAGGAACCAAACAGTAGTTTGAACAAGGACTTCAACTATCAGTGAAAAGGTCTCACTCTCACACAGTTGAACCTTGAAAGCCCCAGAACGCCCCAGCTCTCAGACTGGAGAATCAGCAAGCCTCTATGCCTGCATCAAGTCAAGCACTTGCTGCATCTTGTCTACTGGTTTCCCAGAAGCGCTATTGAGGCCGATGTAAGCCTCATAGCTGTGGCATGAGGCCTCAGACTTCAGCAGCAAACTCGCACGGAGTCCATAGATCAGCACGCCCTTCACAGACTGCTCTGCAGCAATCCAACCCGCTGGAACAAAGACCGCTTCATTGGGGCGCTGCAGGCATGATTTTGCTTTCATTCCATGTTTTTTGCAGTTCTCGAGGTTGCCATAGGTCAAGGAACCAATCAATGCCTCCAAATCATCAGCTTTGATCACATCCACACCAAGTTCCGCCCTCAGAGCGGCAACAGTGGAAGAAATCTCCATTACCAACCACTTCACCTCTCCAAACGCGAGAACCTTCATCATTGCCATGCCATTTGGGGTTGCTGAGATGCTCGTCAGAGCAGGATCATAGCCAAACAACCACAAAGTGTCCGTAATCTTGGAGAAATCATTCTCGCCCTTCACTTTGTTGTCATCAGGGATCGGTGCAGTGAAGTTGCTGATGAGAGCATGGGACTCTTCTTTTCCTTCCTTAGCGAAAAGAACCATTTGAGCCTTGCCACTCCGAGAGAACATGTCAGTCTTCTTGTATCGGCCGCCAAAGCTACCAAGGGCCAACTGCATTTTTGGTTCATTGGCCCACTCGGAGATCTTCCTGTTGTCCTTGAAAAGGATCGGCTCATCCACCGTGGGGAACTCTGACCACTCACTGCCAGCCACTTCCTGTGAGAAAAAAGATTTCACCAAGTTGGTTCTGTGGAGCTGTTTGAACTTGTTGCTGCCTCTTAGGTCTTTAATTAGTGGGTTGAATCAACAGAAATGATTTAAAAGCATTACTAGAAGGAAATAACAAAAAATAAATTGAAACATACTGGAGAAAGTGCAAAATGCTTTCAACCAACATGTGTTTGCCCTTGTCCTTCATGGGCCCCATGACCATATCATGTTGAAGCTTGTCCAAGCCAACTTCGAAGATCGGATCGACAGTGTCCTCCTGGTCCTTGACCTTCTTGGCTGCTGCTTTGGCCATCTTTTTGGCCTCTGCAACAGCAGTCGACTCTTGCTGCTTCTTGCGTTTGGTCTCCTCCCGCTTCTGTTTGCGGGATAGGTTGGCAACATGCGAGGTGATATTCTGGGCGCTCTTGGAAATTCCAGCAACCAGAAGCTTGACCTGCTCCACAGAGTGCTTCCAGCACTCCAACTTCTCATCCAACTCCAGCATGCCCTGAGAGTTCAAAACCTTTTCACACAGCTCTGTCATTTCCAAGAGGGAGAGCAACTGTGGAAGGCTTTGGACCGCCATTGAGCCTTTCCCACCATCATCAGCTGCATGGCGAAGCATCTCAGACACTTTCTCGCCAGGGCTCTTCATGGCACCAGAAGACAACCTCCGAGGAGCACAAGAACCGGCATCTGACTTGGAGTCAGACTTGACTTCTGACTTGGCTTCTGACTTGCACTCTGACTTGGAATCTGCGTCTTTTGGCGGGTCAGCTGGAGCTGCAGATGAAGAGTAGTCTGTTGCATCTGGCTTCTTTGAAGGAGTCTTGGGACCAATCAGGTTGAGAGCTTCATCCAGCCCCTTGCAAAGCCAAAGCTGCGCCAGAACCTGCCTGCTGCTGCCAGTCAGCATGTAAGCATCTAACTCAGGGTCGTTGGGGGCATCTGGGTCAGCGGCAGGCTGGACAGAAGCAATGGATTTCTTGAGCTTGTCAGAAGCATCAGAGACCAACTTCTCGATTCCAGGCAAGTCCTGCAGAACAGAAAACTAAAAATGCAAAAATGAATTCAGGATCAAACAGTGCATCATCAACCCAATTCACCCCCTCTAGAGCTAGAACTCCCTTACCCCCTTTCACCCCGCTGCCCATGCCAGAAAGGAAACAACCCTGACACTGCTGTCCTTCTTGAGCTTCCCGTACTTCTTGGGAGCTTCATCAGCAACATTGCCCTTCCTGACCCTCTTTGGAGGCACATCGGATTCCTCCACCTGCTCAGGACCACGCTTGACAGGACCTGCCTCGTTGGTGATAGCTTTGGTGGAAGCGCTCCTCAAGAAGGAAGAGTCATGGCCACCAACAGCAGATTGGCATATCTGCATCATGCTCTCTTTCTCCTTCGAATCTGAGTTCTTGAGCTGTTTGGATCCTTCTGTCACACTGCTTTCCACAAAGTGTGTCCGATCACGCATCCTCTCCTTGTGCTTTGGCACCCAAAGCTTCGTGAGTGGACCCTCACCTTCTCGATCATAAGGCCCCTGCAAAAGTTCTTTGAAGGCAGCATCAGACTCTGCTCTGGATTTGCCCCTGGGCAAAGAGCGCATCACATAGTAGTCATCGATGTCCAACAGCTCCTCACCTTCTCGCACAGTGTAGGAGAGCCTCACACCATGGTCACGCTTCCAAGCTGCCCAATCTATGAGACGCTTGCGGCCTGATCCCTCAGGGTTGTCCCTCATGAAGTCTTCAATTGCAATTTTTGCCTTGCTTGGGTCGTTCATCACCTGGTTGTAGCTAGTGAGCTCAGGAGGCTTGGCATTCTGAGCTTGGTACTTCATATTCTCAGCTGCACGATGGTGACTCTTGCAAAACTTGCTGTTCCGCAACTTCTTCTCCTCACAAACGAAGCAATTGGAGGCTGTCTTGCCGCCACCGCCCTTTGCCTTGGCCTTTGCTTTGCCTGAAGCTTTGGGAGCAGCAGTCACGCCTCCCTTGTTCCCATCAGAAGCCTCAGCCTCAGCCTGGGTCAAAGCATCGAAGTCATCCATGACCACCGCCGCAGCCCAAGCAGTGCCAAGCAGGACGAAAGCTTGACTTCTGACAAAATCACAGCTGCAAGAAGACATAGAATGAAGGAAAGCGTGAGAGAACATGCGCAGCAAGAATGAGCAAATCTAACTGGAGCTTTTAGAATCTGACTCATCCATCTGGCAAACAAATGATCTTGCTAGCAACACCTACTTTGTAGTCTGAGCGGCACTGAGAAAACATTCTCTGTTGAGAGTTGAGACCAAAAGCATTAAACTTTGCAAATAAGCTTATGTCAGTTCCCAGAGTGGCTCTTTTTTGAGCTGCCATGAGGACTGCAGCGCAGCAAAGCCCAATACCAAATTGGGCTCTGGTTCAAAATCTCTCCTAAGCACTGCCGCTTCATGTGCTTTGGAAGACATTCCAGGATTTAGCTCTTCAAAGAACGAACCATGGCACATGCCAAGATCCTGGATCCAAGATCATAGCGCAAACGAAAGCATTGCTTTTGTTGAGACCCATTGCTACTACACCTGTCTGCATGCAGTGGCGTCAAAGTCTGAGCCGGAAGCTTCATGCCTGGGGTCTTTGAGGCTTGTGTGCCCCAGTACATAGAACATCCAAGCAGCCTGTGTAACCAAGTGCATTCCATTGCCCAGGAACCTCTTGAGTTGAAACCGGGAAGAATCAGTCAAGAACTGGGCTCCTGACCATCCTGAGAATGTTTCCTGAAGTTCAGGAAAAACCAGGAAGCCCATGGATGCAAAATGCTCCATGGTTGTCATGATCTTCCATGAGTCTGCATCTTCTGAATCAACTGAGAGCACCGTCCCATGCCTCAAGTTCACAGGCCAGTCGCTGCCTCCTGTGCTCCCTTTGGTGTTCGGGTGGTGGTCAACATCAAACATGTAGCGGCCACCCAAAGAGCAACCATCAGAAGCAGTATCCATCCATTCATTGAACCTTTGGACAGCACCAGGCGGCAAAAGCAAACGAAGAAGTTCCTTCTTGGGAATTGAATCCAAATGCGCAGGCTTCAAATGGTTCTTCTGTTTCTTTGCCAAGCCAATATATTCTTGCTGCCGTTCAGACTCAGAAGCCAAAGCAAAGACATCACCAGACGCCACAGTGGCACGATGAAAGCGTGAGGCAAAATCAATGGCTATTGCTCTCTGGTCAGGTGGGCCATGCCAATCCACCGTCTTCAAATTCAAGGCTGCTCCCAAGACTCTCATCCGCTTGTGCGGCCACCCAAGCAATTCTGGACCAACACGAACCCAAATGCAAAAATGAGACCCTTCCAAATTGTCCTGAAAGCCAGACTCGATCGGGTAGCGAGGAGTGCATTCCAAGAAGGCAATATCTTCTTGATATTTTTCTGCTCTGACCTTTCTTTCCCAAATCCAAACTCCATGGGGAACTTCACAAGTGCTTGCTTCAGCCTCCTGCGAACCTTCTGCTGACCAAGGCAAACAAGAGACTCCAGCACATGTGACCATCAAAGGCCTCGGAAAACGTTTGAAGGTGTCCCTGGCAAGAACAGGATGAGATGGGCACTTGCAGTCATGAGCGTAACACCAAGAGGTGGCATCATCAGTGAACAATTGGTCAGCATGATTGGCCACCCAATCGACAATTGCACGGTGCGCCTCCTTTTTTTTGCTCACAAGTCGCACCTGAAGATGGGAGAGCTGCATCAATCCAAGAGCGTGCCCAGTCAGGAAGCCTGTCCAAGATATCACCAAAAACACAGCCATTGTCTTCTTGAGCCAGGTGCTGAAGAACTGCCCTGCAGCTAGGGTCCTTGTCTGAAGAGCGGGAGTGGCAAACGCAAGCAGGAAAGCTCCATCCAAGAAGCTTTGTCAAACCTGCCAGACCGAGCCTTAAAGACTCTCTTGGGCAATCAATTCCACTGTAATCGGTGTACATGTTGATGCCTGAAGAAAAATGAGTTTGAAGTCTTAGTTCAACCTCTTTGCCACCGGGAGAGTCTACACACAAAGATCTGGCTATCCAAAGAGGCCAGTCACCAAGCTCTTTTGCATTCTGGGGGCCACTAGGAAGATCTCTTGCCCGCACATGTCGCTCTTCATGCCAGGCAACTCGCTTGCGTTTCTCACTGGCCATCATTCCAGAAAGCCAGAAGGTGTTGGAGGGAACACGAAAGAAATCATGGGAACATATGATAACAAAACCATTATAAGAATTGATTCTTCTTGAAGAACATTAGTTGCAAGGACAACATTGACAACCTTCTCTTTGCTTCTACATAGCTTCTACATAGCTCTTGTTCTTGTAAGGAACCTTGAACAATAAATATGTTTGCTCCAATCAGTGCAGTTGCTGCAATCTAAAGAACACTGCAATTTGTGCGCATGAACACTGACAATGATAATTCAACGGCGTTACATAAAGAAAAACTGTAAAGAAAACAATTTAACAAAGAAAACAACAAAAAAACACAAAACAAACACAAAAGTGACAGAATGACAACAAATTGGCTTGTCTCATGATGAAAGGGAAGGAACACATGAAAACAACAACAAACAAGTAAAAAAAAAACAAAAATAACAAAAAAGAACAGTTGTGTGATGTTTTTTGCCAAAATACTGCAATTGTGGGCAGGTAGTGGCTCAGTTGCTAGAGAGTTCCGGGGAATTCCGGTGAGTTCCGGTGAGTTCAGGTGAGATGATGAAATTGATGCAAAAGTGTGCATAAACCAGTGGTTTGTGAGGCGAAAACAATGAATACAATGGTAGTAGCCGCGAGGGGAGAAGTGCTTGAAAGAAGGCCAATAATGGATGATATGTGGTGCTTCCGACATTCAGCAAGTCAGGATTTGATGTCTACGTTGCTGAGGGCATGCTCTAAGGAGGGAAATCTATGAAAATAGGTGAACTAAGGAATGTTGGGAAGGAAACATGTTCAATGGCTAGGACCTGCCTGTTCCGCAAGGAAGTTAAGAACTCAAAAAAAATCAAAAACAACACTGAAACTTAAAAAACGACAGCTACAGGTGCAAAACCATAAAAATGAACAATTCCTTACACATCCCTATGACAAACTTGCCAAACATTTATAAACACAAATGCCAGCGCGTTTCAACAGTGAACTGAAAGCTCCACAAACAAAAACAGGTGCAAGATTACAAGAAAACACAACTGCACAGCTTCCCAACTTCAAACTTGCAGGAAAGAATGTCATCTGTCAAGATTCACAAAATGCAAAAGCTGGAAGCCCAACATTTTTTGACACAGCTGAAGCTCATCCACCTTTGGTGCATAGAGTCCATGTGTTTCCATTGGTGAACCTCCAAACACATCCTTGAGGCGCAGGCAAATTTGGGTGAATGTATCCATACCTCCGCGCATCTGCCAGCCAAGCTGGAACTCCATAGCTAGTTCCAGCGGTGCATTTGTTTCGGGCTCTTTGAGCTGGAAGTGTTACAGGTATCACTTTGTTTGCAGCAAGGTGCTCCATATGAGCGTGCACTGCTTCAGGAACACCTTTTGCTGGTGGGCCAAGAATGCCAGGAAAGGCATTGTCAGAGAGTTGAGGCGGAACATCTTTGACTGGTTCAACTGCATGATATGACTCCCAATCATGCACAACATTCAAATTCAAGTCATCTTCTGAAGGCAATCCATTCTCACGCTTCATGACCTGGATCAGCTTCCAGGTCTCAAACATGTGCTCATCACGAGATGACACAGAGGAAGCAAACACGATCCAAGATTTCAACATTCTGCGACATGTTGCCTCATCACCTGCAACACCGAATGACAATTCCTTAGTACATCTCTTCTTGTCAAGATTGTGTTCAGGACGGGAACAATGCATTTGCAAACCTGTGAGAACTTTGGCTTTATACCTAGGTGTCAAAAGGCACACTCCCCAAGCTTCACCCTGGAAAGTTCTGATGCGGGGCTGGGTTGCAGCCACAGGCTCGCGAACAAACTTTGCTTTTGCCTGAACTTCTTCTGGCTCTGTGTGAATGGCGGCACTAGGCTCATGGGAACCTTCAACATTTTCTGAGGTGCTGCTACTGCTTGAATCTGAAGAAGAGGATGAACTGGAAGATGACTCTGATTCCTTAGAACTGTTTGGTTCAATTGCTTCAAATTCACCTGGGTCGAAAGCATTTGCGGGCTGCGTGTCATGGGGTATACTATGATGGGACACTGAAGGTGCTAGTGCTGGTCCTTGCACATCAGACCCTGCATCTAAAGAATCCACAGGTTCAAGCAATTCATCTTGATTGATGTCCAACAAAGCAAGAACCTTGTCAGCTTGTGAGCTTTGCTTGCGGGCACGCTTGCGTTTTGGCTTGGGCACTGGTACCAACAATCCCCAATCATCACACTCAAGCTGTAGACTTGGTTTTCTTTTCGAAGAATTCAAAGCAGGAGGAACTTCCCCATTCAAAAGCTGATTGTACCTGCCCGGCTGACACAAATGCGGAATTTGCCTGCCATGCTCAGCAGCAGTCAAAAGCAAACGCAAATACGCAACTGATATCTCATTTCCGGTTTGGCCTTTCTTCAAAAACCAAACCAACGGCTGAGAACCACCACACATGAAAGGCGACAAGTTCTTGGCAGAAGAGGCAACTTGCATTTGCCAACCTGCTTTTTCCAAGTGGCAAATGAGCTCATACCTGGACATTTCTTCAAAAGGCTCATCACGAATCTTCAACAGTGGTTGGGTGTTCAAAAGCTTCCAGCAAGTTTTGACAGAAGCCACTCCAACTACAGACAGACTCCACAAAGTCTTGCCCACAGTGCTGGTCTCCGTTGTGACATAGCCTTGCTCCTGCAAGTTGGAAGTCAGCACAAAACCTATCTGGATTGGTTTCACACATGAACTAGAACCTGTCAAGCATGAACACATGACCCATTACTTAGCATTTGGTGACAAAACTTTTAAAACAATCACTCCTTCCAAGCTGAAAGGTGTTCAGCATAGGCCAGGGGATGCTCATCCGTAAGTTGAAAGCTTTTGTTCTCCACAAGAGATGCAA